ATCGTTTTTTTTTATTTTGTCATTATTATTTCTTAATAATGTCTTAACCATAAATGCCATATATAAAAATTATCAAATATGAACAATCATCATGAACAAGATTAAAAAAAGCAAAAGAACAATTTAATATATTTTTATTATCACAAGTAAAAATACTAAGTTGATAAAGTTTATCAATCTTAACCCTCCTCCATTAAATTATATTATCACCATCACCATCTGCTATAAAATATTATGAAACAACATAAATTATAACCTTGAAATCTTCATTATTGAATTTGCTATCATTTTTCTTTTTAGGACAATTAAATTAGTAATGACTAGATTTTCTAGAATTAAGATATTTGCCTTTACCTTTTTCATTCTTTTTTGGAAATTTGAAATTACTTTCTTTTCCCTTTTAATTTTTTTTTTCTTTCTACTTTTGAAAGACTCAAATTTTGGTGGTGCACCATTAGATGCAATAGTCATAATAGATGCTTTTGAATTTATTTTAGTCCTTTTTTCATTTTCTACACCTAATAATGTTGGTAAATTTTTCATGGTAATTGAATAACTTGTTTAACTAAGTAATATGATAACTTATTCACGTGAATTAGATAAATTATGCAATATGGTTGAAACTTGTATCATATAAGGAATAAGATCTCATAAGGGATCCAATTCTTTAGATGATAACTAATCTATTCACATGTTCAATAACATTATCACCTTTTTTTTTGTTTTGATACTATTAAAATTTTTTTTAGAAGTTAAACATATATTCAAAAACACTATCATATGCATTAATGATGGAAACTCAAGCAAAATTTCTTTGTTGGATTCCATTAAAGTAAGCATGATCTCTCTAGCAGTCTTATTATTATCCATATTTTTTTTTTATAAGACCTTCTAATAAAAAAGCTAGCATTTTCATGTAGTGGGAGTAGAACATCAACATCAATTATATAATTAACTTTGTCTTGAACAAAAAATGATGAATTCGACACTTTTAAATCAAGAAATTGGTATCATTCAATTGTTTAGTTTTACTTAATTCTTGACTAACAATTTTATTAGCCATAATTGAGACAGCTAAAAAAATTTATGTTAGAAGAATAACCAATAATAAAGGATCTTGATATAATTTTTTATATCTTACTTCACCAATATGTTGTTGATCTATGACATAGACTAATCTTGATGCTTATTTATCTTGGAAAAGATTGAAATGATGACCATAATGATAGCCTAAAAGAAAAGAGAAATATATAAAGTTATATTCTAAGAGACAAATTAAAAATTATAAGGATCAATAACTACTCGAATACTAATAATAGCTTTTATAGGTCTAACAAAAAAATAAAGTTAATCTAAACAAAAAAAAAAAGAACTCGTTCTATATTAATAGGTGAGTGACTTTGGGTTTTATCCAAATAAAATAATTTTTATCTAGTTTTTTTTATCTTTATTTGATAGCTTTTGATTTATGTTTATATAGAAGTTTGTTAACCCATTATGAAAAACTTACATGAAGAAATAATGTTATTTTTAACATTAATATTCTTGAAAATTAGCTACTTTATTTCTTACAAAATTCTCACTGACACAAAGCGCTAATTTATGTGCAACCATTTAATAGTTAGTTTGATCAAGTCAAACTCCATATGTCAACCAACCAAGACTACTATACAAAAATATTATAGCAAGGTTCTCAAATTAAATTTCTTTATTGCATTGTAGGGGTTATTTAACTACCCCTTTCATATATTTTAATAGGCTATTTGACCACTTTGTTTGATAAAAAATTAAACTTTTAACTTGGTGAATTAGAAATATTTTTTTTATCATTCCACCTATAACCTTTGGAATAAAAAACTTAATTAGTTTCAATGGATGAATAAGTTTATCTAAAAATATTTTTACTATGGAAAAAATATAGCTTTAGAAAAATTATCAAATAAAATTAACTTTTGTGAATTGTTTATGGCTTATCTTCAAACCATTCATCGTGTCTTTTTTATGGCATAATAGTTGGAAATATTTTTGTTAAGTAGGAATTTGAAGCCAAGTTATTATATGATTCGATAACTTGAATTGAAGGGTTTTTTTTTTTAATAATTAACAAATGAGTGATAATTTTGGACTAGCATGGCTAAAACTAAATTAAAATTTTTGATCTGTTTTTTAGTTAGATCAAAACTAAAATATATATTTGTATCCTTACCCTAATATTAGTTAGGATAGCATTTTACATGCATTGATGCCATGAGTTAGAGTTTCTTTTAGATGAACACAAATATTATGAGTCATGTTAGAAAAATAGTATAAGACAAAAACAAATAAGAAGTTGACTTGAAAGTGTAAAAACATTATTTTTAATGTGTTTATTTATTCTATATAGAGATAAAACTTTCAAGATACAACTAAACTCTTTAGACCTTTAAAAAAATGAGAAGATAAGGTAAATGAAAAAAATACATTTTTTTATATGTTTTCTGTGTAGTAATAAGTTTTATTAGACTTGAAAATATTATAATGAAATATTATGTATTTTAATATTATGACTTCTAATACAACTAAATAGGAATTTGAAACCAAGTTATTATATGACTTGATCACTTGAATTGAAGGTTTTTTTTTTTTTGTGTAATTAACAAATGAGTGATAATTTTGGACTAACATGTTTTGGCTAAAACTAAATTAAAATTTTTAATTTATGTTTTAGTTAGATTAAAACTAAAATATACATTTGTGTCCTAACCCTAGTATTAGTTAGGATCAACAAATCAAAGAACATTTTATATGCATTGGTGCCGTGAGTTGGAGTTTCTTTTAGATGAACACAAATATTATGAGTCATAATAGAGAAATAGTTTAAGATAAAAATAAATAAGGAGTTGGCTCGAAAGTGTGAAAACATTGTTTTTAATGTGTTTATTTATTCTACATAGAGACAATACCTTCAAGATACAACTACGCTCTTTAGACCTCTAAAAAAAATAAGAAGATAAGACAAATGAAAGAAAATACGTTTTTTTATATGTTTTCTGTGTAGTAACAAGTTTTATTAGATTTGAAAACATTATAATGAAACATTATGTATTTTAATATTATGACTATTAATAAAACTATATGATTATTAATGAAATAATTATATTTTAAATTAAACTGAATAACTACTATTCAATTGTATCCCAATAGTCATAAATATTAAAATTAATTATGAAAATTAAAAAAAATTAAAAATGAGTTAATAAGTTTCAAGTGTCAATTGTTATTTTTTGATATTATAAATATTCATATAATAGCATTAGAAAACCTATTAGAAGAGTGCATCATGCCTTTTACTTAATTTATTACACAATAGAAAATTACATTTATAAATACTTAAAAAAAGTGTTTTTTTTAATATAAAATATACATCTTTTTCTTCTTTATTTATTTACAAATTATACTAACAACTCATGATAAAACTTGAAAAGTAGTCTATCTATACTAAAACTACTCTTTCTTATTATCACCGTAATAGCTTTGATGGTTTGGTTGAGATACTAAAAGTAGCTTTTGGTAAGGTGGCATAGAGGTTATTTGATATTGAAATAATAATTGTTTTTTAAATTATTTTTTGTTTGAAAATATATTTAAATAATATAGTTTTTATTTTTAAAAATATATTTTTAATATTAATACCTCGAAACAATGTAAAAACATTAAAAAAATAATTTTAAACAAAATAAATTCAAGTTTTTGACGAATACATAACCAACCATGTTGCCGAACAAATTCATATGCCTTGTCTAATTAACATTTTCTTATTGCTTTTCCATCCACATTTCAATAAAAATAGTTAATACATTCTATTAAAAGTTTTAATGATTTTTCCCCATTAGTCCAGGCTTGCTAATTCAACGTGATTGAGATGGATAATTTACCATTTACATGGTAACATAGAAACACTTTACACACACACACACACACACACGAGTTTATTTATCAAAAAAGAAGAAGGTGAACTAAGTAAATTTTGTAACCACTTTATACATGCATTTTCTCTTATTTATGGATAATTGTATTAATACTTAGAAAATCCTATGATGTTCATGGAATAACTAATTAGAATTTATTTTAAAGAAAAAGATAAACATCATATAAAAAAAATCTCAAATAAAGATATTTTTATTATTTTAATAATTTAGAGGTTATGCTATTTTATTTTCTATCACCTTCCTGTATCTATTTTTTTTAAGTGGACTCTAATAATAATTAATAAAATATTACTAATTATTCTTTAAATACCATTACAAAATTGTTCTAGAGGTTAAAGAAGTGTATACCTTTTTTAATTTCATAGGTTCTTTTTTTTTTAATTAAATCTTTATGCCCTTAAAATTTATTGAAAAATAAATTAATTTCGATGATGCACAATCTAGTTCAATAACACCCTTGTCTTCGAATAATAATAATAATAATAATAAAAATGCTTAGTTTTAAAGCCATGAGGAGGAAAACAAAATCTTTCTTCTCACTGAAAAACAACTTATAAAAAAATTATGAATGACTTGAAATTTTAATTTTCTTTTCTATTTCTTTTATGTACTTTTCTTTTTAATTTCTTCTTAGAGTGATTTTTACTCTTAATTTAGTGTTTTTAATGAAAAAAATGGAGGAATTATTACATATTCAAGAAAACTTTTAAGTGAGGTAAGGAGTAGTGATCTTAAAGGACCTAATAATTTCTCTATTTTTATGTGTTACGTGTGTATTGGAATATACGCTGAAATAGAAACTGCAATTTAATATTGAGGGTAAAATTGATTCAATCAATTAGTACAGGATCACATTGTAAACAAGCATAGAGATGAAGGGTATTTTTGTAGTTAACATTAATCATTATATGAAGCATCTCTCACACCTTTTCATCCTGTAGCTGCCCCCCACCATCTCTTACACGTAATTGTTTTCCTTTCTGTACCGGGGAAAGAAAAGGAACAGAAGTTTCTCTGTACGTTCAGTTCTTTTTCTTTTTGAAAATGTAAAGAGAGCCATGTTTCTTGGGATTTTGTTGGTTAAAGAGAAAGCAGAGCCAAATAAGTTTAATTTCGATATAATTTTTTAATACTTGGCTCGTTTTTTGCTTTGTTATGGAATTTCAGTTTTTTTTCCCCTGCAAGTGAAAGTGAATTTCAACGTCTATTACTGTGCATTTTTTTGTTAATATTATGTTTTGTGAATTGGGTCCTTTTTCTTTCTTTTTAAATTATGGTGATTTTCTTATGTATCTGCTGAATTGGGAAGCTTGGAAAATGAAACGTTCTAGTGACCTATGAGTCTAAAAGACTAAAATGGTTTTGTTCAATTTAACTCTTTGGTTTGTTTCACTCCGTGCTCTGTTTTTAGATGGAAAGTGAAAGGAATTGCTTGCTGGAATCCTAGAAAAGAGAATTACTATTTTAAGCGGTGCTTATTATTGCTAACAAGTGGAAGAAGATTGCCTTGGCTTTGTTTGTTCTGTTTAATTGCTTGAATTTCTAAAAATTTTCTGCCTGTTGATATAGCTTGAATTTCATTATACTGTAAGTTCAACTCCTTTTGTTTTTTTTTTTTTTCTGCTTGATTGCTGAGAAAATGTTCCAAAGTGAAAGAAACTTGAATTTTGCATGTCTTGAACATCATCGGGATCCCATTACCATTTGATAGGCCACACATTTACTATTGTTTTCAATTAGCAATCAAATTATATTTTACATGGTTTAAACCTTTGCTTAATCAAATCTTATTGACACAGGTTCTGCAGACACACTGTAAATTTGGAAGACAATAAAACCCATTTTTGTAAGCATACGGAATGTATATCGATTGAGAAATTCCTTCCATCGACTACCAACTATTGTTAGATGAAGGACCGGGAGACTAACTGGGACTTCAAGACAATCTGACTTCTGGATTTACTAAAATATTGAGGTATTACACTTGAATATCTTGACAACTTTGTGCATACTTTCGCAATTGATTTTGTGATCAGTCAGTCGTCACAGATAGTTCCTTCTTCATTTATTTTTTTCATATGCTTGGATTTGCTTTCTTTGATAGTGTAATCCCATTGACTGTGCTGGAAGTGCTGAATTATGTCAGTAGCAAATTGGAACACTTTTTTCAGGGTAAAGACAATCGTCTTTTCATTTGTGGTACTTGACATGGCTTAGTTGATTTGTTCTGTTTTTTGTTTTGCTTTATGCTACTTCAACTGCCTTATGATAATCAGGGAACAAAACAAGGTGCATAGCTGATTTGTTTTTTTTTTGCTTGAAGTTAACTTGTTATTTGATTAGTCTCAAGTGTTATGAATCTTCATCTCAGCATTGAAGCTGAGAGTGTTTTTTATTGCCTTGGAGTAGAACTTCTGATTGAAAGTTGAAGTGTTGAAACCCAGGATACTACTCTAAGGTTCACAAGCAAAGCAAGAAGCCAGAAATATAATGGGAAACACAATGCAAAAATCCGAAGAAACAAAAGTAGAAGAACCAGGACTGCTGCGAGAAGAAGAAGATTCAAACTTCACTTGTGAAATTTGCACCGAACCTATGCTAGCAATCAGGAAATTCAAGAATGGTAGCTTGTGTAAACATCCTTTCTGTTTGGACTGCATAGCCAAATATATTGAAGTAACAGTTGAGGAATCCACTGGCTGCATTGAATGCCCTGGGCTGAACTGCAAGCAACCTTTGGACCCTCTCTCATGCAGGCTTATCATCTCGAAGCCAATATTTGAGAAATGGTGTGATCATCTATGTGATTCTACGGTTTTAGGGTCTGAAAGTTGCTATTGCCCATACCGAGATTGCTCCGTGTTGGTTTTGAATGAGTGTATGGATAACCTGAAGAAGATAAAATGTCCTAACTGCAAGAAAAACTTCTGTTTTCTTTGCAAAATTCCGTGGCATGCAGGATACCGGTGCAATGAGAGCAGACATCTAAGAGATACGAATGACATTCTGGTTGGTGAACTGATTGAAGAGAAAAGGTGGACTAGATGTTACAATTGTGGTCACTCGGTTGAGCGAGTTAGTGGTTGCAGGGATATAAAATGCAAGTATGCTCTCCCTCTCCCTCTCCCTCTCCCCCTCTTTATGTATATCTGTCTCTCCATCTGCATAATAGCTGTGATTTGGGCATTTGAATTCTCTTACTAACAAATTATACAGTGGCATGTGATTGTTATTGTTTGGATTATGCAACACCGTTTCCCATAACATATACATGAGAAAATAATAAGAAGGAACATCCTATGATCATTTAAAGCTCATCAGAAGATGTATTTATGATTACTGAAAACAATTAATTTTTTAGAAAAATTTTAAAAACTAATGATTGTTAATTCGGTTAAACTGGATTGATGCTGTACGTTGGCTGGCTTAATTGACAACTTGTATTCTTGAATGTCAAAGTTCTATCCGGCCTTGCTCCCAGAAGGTTTCTTCCATTCAAAATGATTCTAAAGATTTGGAGCTATACAGAAGGCAGATTGTATGCAATTGAAATCTTCCATTATTTAAAGTGTAGTTTACCCTGGTTAAGGGAGCTGAAATAACTCACAAATGATAAATTAAAACCAGCAAAAATCACATAAACTCAATTTGTGATTGGTGTATATTTCTGATTTCTTTTGATTATTAATGCAGATGTGGGGTTCAGTTTTGCCACCAATGTGGAGGGCCATTCCATTTCGGTCCTTGTAAGCACAAGTTCTGTGGAAATGTTCTTTGCAATATGTTTATTTTTATGATGTTACTGGCTTTCTGCTACTTCGTATATTTTGAAGTACATTCAGTCCCATCAAGAAAAGGGTAGACTCACAGTTGCGCTGGCCATGTCTAGATAAATTTTCGAGCGTGATGTTTAAGAAAGATGTTGTAACTTTCAAAAAAGTTTGTGAATGATGTTCTTCTAGTACACAAAAATAATATACTAGTTTGTTCGGTGGTTAGGTTAGAACTTAACAGGGGTTAGTTTTGTTCTATCCTTGAACCTTTTCTACTTGGGAGATGAACATCCATGAAATTCTGGACATGTTCAGTTATTGTTACAGGGAAAGTTCTGATTTGTTGATCTGATTCGTAAAAATGTCACATCATTCTGATTGATTATTTATACAGCAATATCATTCTGCCTTGCTGGTTCAGCAAACAATACAGTTGGAAACATTCCACAGCTTATTGCATTATGAGGGAGCACGAATGCCATTGCATTTCATATATTCAGTGCCCACTCCTAATTTGCAACTTATTTGAGAAGGCATGGCCTAAGTACAGCAGTAGAAGGGCCGTAGCCGAAATACAGCAGAAAGGCCATAGAAAGCTGAAACAAGATTAGTAGCCAGGAAGGCATCAATCAGAGAAAAAACGGAACTGCGATGAAAACAAAAGTCAGAGAAGGCAAAGTAGGAGACCCAGAAAGAAATGGAACCAGCCAGCTATCCATGGAGTCAGTAACTTGACCCAAAAAGCATTTTTTAGCAGAAATTGCTTTCATCACCGATCTCAATTTCGAGGAAATGAATTCGGATCGGTCACGTTACTAGCTCATTTGATGAGTCATGCATGAGTTTTTCAACAATAAAATTATAAAACGATAAAATTAGCTCAAACATCATTTTCTAAACCTTCACATAAAACAAGCTAGTCTTTCTAAAGACGTGGACTTGCAGAATCTTGGATAGAAAATTATAAGCTCGTTTCTTTTCACTAATTGTTTAGAGCAAATAAACCTTTTACCACTAGTTCATAAATAAATCTCTAGCTTTTCTCAGTAAACTGATTTATAATAAGATTCACGACTAATTATTCATATCCATCAGATTTTTCATCTTGATCATATCATAGAGCATGGAAGCAGAACTGTCAGGAACTGTTTCAAGATTTGACATTTACTGGAGAAAAGTCAGCCTTTTGCGACGCAGAATATCATAAGATAACTTTGCGTGTCCACCAAGAGTCAAGTGATGGCATTCCTTCACTTGAATTAGAGCTTTGCACAGGGAAGATAAATTATCACAGTTGCTGTTGTTTGAACTACATTAAGAATAAGTTTGAGATATAAATATGATAGTGACATTGTATTTCTCGCCGTTGTCTAAATTATGAATCGTAGCTAATATATAATTCTAATAAACAGAACTCGTGGTTAATAAAATTTGTTATTTTTTTTAAATTTTTTAAAGGATTTATCTTTTAAATACATCATATAAAGATAAATATGGAGATTACTATTTAAGATTATTAAAAAAATTAATTATTTAATTTTAATTATTGTATAAGATAATACGATATTGATAATGTTCTGGATCATGAAAAAAAATATTAAACAAGAATATATTTGATAATAGTTATGGTTTAAAATATTTTTTATATAAAAATAATATTTTTTTTAGTTTTTTAAAAATTATTTTAATATCAACATATTAAAATAATATAAAAAATTAATTTTAAATTTTGATGTATTTATACAAACACAGCTTAAATTATTAAATAAAGTTAACTTTTGTGAATTGTATATTGCTTATTTCCAATCCATTCATCATGTCAGTGGCGTGGAGTAGTTGGAAATTTGTTTTCTTAAGTTCGAATTTCAAGCCAAATTATTTGTTCACTTGATCACTTGAAATATTAAAGTTTTTTTTAATTAACAATTGATATTTTTTAACTAACTTATCATTGACTAAAATTAAATTCATATTTCAATTTTTTCATACTACCTTGTAATTGACCAAAATTAAAATATATTGCAATTATAATTATATTATAAAGTATACTAAAAGGACTAAGTAAATCACTCGAGTATCATAATGTTTTTCCTAATAAAACTCATGTTCCACCAAAAGTGATTAAATTATCTCCACCTTAAATTTCTCTCTGCTACTTGATTTTTTTTTAAAGTGGATTCAAAGAGTAACTAGTTATTTTCTGAGTATCATATAATTTCTTCTTTTTATGAAAAAATTAGTAACCAATTTTTAAAAAATATCAAGAAAACTTTTTTGTAATAAAAGAGAATCAAAGTGTAAAAAAAGAAGAAATCCCATTGCCAATCTCAAATTCACATTAAAAAAAAAAACTTATTAGTCCACCTATTTTTTTCAATCCCTATAGTTTTTTAAATTTTAATTTTGATCCAAAAAATCATTTTTATTGTTTTTCAATTTCTTGATATGAGAGACATGAAAGTAATTGAATTACAGTTAAAATCATCAGTTGAATATATTCTAACAAAAAAAAATTAATTTTGGTATTAACAAACTCCATTCAATGATGGGATGCCATGAGCAATGTTTGAACGTTCATCCTTTTTAAAAAGTAGATTAAGGTCCAAATATAAATTAATCGGTTTGATTTTATGTTTCTGATTATTTTTTGGGTTGTTGAATTGGTTTATTTTACCTTTTAAGATGGTTTATTATATATTTTTAAGTGAAAATAAGTTGAAAATGAAGTTTTAGATAAAAAATAATCCACTTGATTTTTCAGTTACTACAATAGTGGTCGTATTTTGTATAGGCAAATGACACATTATTTTTTTTTTAAATAAAGGCATATAAAACATCATTTTACTTTATTTTTTTAATAAAATATAGAGGTGAATGACATGTTATGTTATAATCATCTTCTAAAAAAAATAAAAAATAAAATTATGGGTTTGATCTTATAGGCCCACATGTATAATTTTCTTTGTTAATGGCCTAGACCACCTAAGCCCAAGTAAATCTTTTTTTGGTTTTGATTTTTTTAAAATATATATTAATTAAATTTAAATATAGGATGCATGATTTATTTGATTTTAATTAAGATTATTTAAAATAAATTAATTAAACAAACTTTTATGATGTTTTTAAATAAAATATCATTTAAGTTTTACATAGTGTACCAAGTTTGCTAGTAGGGTACAGATGATTTTCTTTTCATCAGGGGTACTTGACAAGGCGTTGCCTTTATGCCACGTCAACTGCCTTGATAATCGGGGAATAAAACAAAGAGCATAGTTGATTTGTTTTCTTTTGTTTGTTTTTTTGGCTGAAGTAAACTTGTCGTTTGATTAGTCTCAATCAGTTCACTCCGTTGAGCGACTTGGTAATCTTTACCGACTGAATTTTTTCCTTTACTAATTACATTAGTATTTTTCAATAAAAATGTCATTAATATATATTAAATAAATTTTAATCAAAATTAAAAAATTAAAAAAATCAAACAATTTAATAATATATAAGTTTTTATAAATGTTGTTATCAACACAGTTGAATTCAATCAGGGAAGCTATAATTTATAAAAAATTGAGGTTTATTATTTTTTAGTGTTATGTCTGGTTCTGTATTATATGATAGTAGAACCACCATATTTATTGAAAAAAGAGGCAACTCATTCTCTTTAAAATTAAGTGGTCCAGGTAGTGTAGCGGCATAATTGAAAAACAGAAGAGAGGAGAAGAAAATAAAAAGAGAAAAAGAGAAGAAGAGACAGCAAAATAGCCTGTATTTTTCCTTTGATTTCCAGCTCGTTCACCATTGGATCGGGCTGAGATTTTGACAGAAGCTTTTAGACACATTGATCTTCATTCTGGACGATTGGATCAAAAATTAGTAGTATGAAAGCTGGCTGTTTTGACAGAAAATAGGGCTGTCAGTATTGTAAGTTTTTCTCAAATAAGTTTCCTTTAATCTTATTGTAATCCGAGAATAAGTTGTTCTTGATGATATATATGTTGTATTCTTTAGTTGAATCTGAAGAAGAATGACTGTGAACCCATTATTTGTTGATAGTGGAAGTTTTTAGGTAGATTATGGTCCCATGGTTTTTCTCATATCTGGTTTTTCATGTTAAAATCTTAGTGTTGATTTTGTGATTATTTGTATTATTTTTATTATTGTTTGATTCTGTTTTACTGCACAAAGAAAAAAAGAATTAAAACTTGTAAATTATGAATTGTATTCTGCTGAATTGATTCAGGTAAATTGATGTGTGATTGTTTCTAGTTTTCCCAATAAACATTCTAGTACAAAATAAATTACTAATAAGCAGTTTTTTAATAAATAATTTTAGTTTATAAATCAGTCGATGAAATATATACCACGAATGATAAAGTAAATACTAACAAAATATTTTATTAATAAGACTATTAAATGTAACATTGTTAAATGTAGTAGTGAAGGAAACTCTTTCTCCATTTGGATTTTTCTTTCTTTTACAAACAAATTATATAGTGACAGTAGATTGTTGTCGTTTTGCATTATGCAACACGGTTTCCTACGAGAAAATAATATAATGGATTGAAAATGAAATCAAAATGTTGGCTTGAAGGGTTCTTCTCTTCAAAATGAATTTTACAATGATCTGGATACATACAAGTACTAGGCAGATTGGATGTTGTTGTAATCTTCCATTATTCAAGATGTACCTTAGCCTGGTGAAGGGAACTTGTAATTTGAAATATGTTTAATTTCTGAATTATCTGAAGAGATAAGTAAGGTGTTGGAAAAGTTTCAAGTTAGTTGTTCCTCAGCTCCTTGATTCTTCACCACTTGTCGTATATGTCATGGATTTTGAGCAACCTCCTATGTTCCCGATGTCTTGCCCTTTATGCTTGACATCTAACATATTATAAATTTTGAGTAATTTGCTAAGCTCCTTGAATCCTTATCCCTTTATTCATAAAAAAGAAGAAGGATAAGAATGGTATTAGGTTATGTTCAATCTATATTCATTTAGGATTCAAACAATATTTGTTTCCATACTCTAGGTCATATGATGTTCTTGGTCATAAACCTAGAATGCCTATACATTTTCTTTCCATGTCTCCTCATATAAATATATGTGAGTCAGTTGAGGTTTTTATGAAAATTTTATGATTTACATGATAAGATTATAAAATAAATTTAAACAAATAATAGATAATATAAATTTTAAACTGAGTGTCATAATATATTTAATACTGAAAATTAGTTTATAATAGATATCAAATGTGAATACTATCCTTTTAAAACTAGTTAATAATTACAATCGAGTAGTCTTATATCATATAAAGTATTACAACTAGTTGAGTCAAATATTTATGTCGTTAGAATATCATCAAACTTTAATATTAACTCTATTTTTAATATAAATAATTTAATTATATATAAAT